CAAGCAGAACACGAGAATATTCTTCTCAGCCTTGCAGCTGGGGCTTAGGGGAAGCCTTTTCCTCTTCCTTTCTTCCTTCTCTTTGGAATTTACATCTAGGTTTTGTCTATTTTAGAAAGGCTTTTTACGCTTTCTTGGGTGTGGAAGAATATGGTTGTTGATAAAAATGGGTGTCAGTTTCCTCCTGTATAGTTTTTTATTATCTAGCATGTTTTAACACGAAATTAAAATTGAGGTATAGATTTGTTTAATAAAAGGTGACTTTCTGCCCTCAAATTTTAGGATAATTAGATACCATCCACAAAATTTGGCATTTAGGATATGTGTTTTTAAAGTGGAACATTTTTGGAAAAATTAGCTCTTCTAAGCATTTATTACTTTAGGTACACAAACAAAGCATCTTAGTTTATTATGGACTAATTTGCTTATTTGGACACAGACTACATTTGCCTTTTTCCTCCCACCAAAGGGTCTCTTAACTAATATATTTTTTCTGAGGATGAATGTCAAATTAATGTGTGCTTTGGTCAGGGCCTCTTCATTAGCCAAGCACAGGAAAAAATGTGGAAGCATTATATATAAAATATATTAACAGCCCCTCTGAGAGGCATCAGATAATAGAGATACCTTAAACAAGATCATCTAATGACCTGAAGTCATTAGATGTGACCCCCTGTGATAAGTACTAGAAAAGTTGCTTCTGACAGATAAAAATGCTTTATGGTACTGTGTCTAAATTTGTTTTTTTGTCAGTTAACTTGTTCAGCCTGTGTTGTTGTTGTTGTTTGTTGTTATGTGCCATGATCTTAAACTTATACACATTTACTAAGTGGAATATGAAAGAAACAACTATCATCTTTGTGAATTGGAGGTCTCCAACTGAGGCGTTCCCTGTAGGATAAGCACGGAACTGCAAGGTCAGTTTGAACTGCAAGGTTGGTGGTTCAAACCCACCAGCTGCTCCTGGGAACCAATTCAATGGCATTTAACAATAACAGCAACTCTGAGGGGAACCAAGAAACATAATATAGACTCTCCTGTTTTGTTATTAATAATTCCAAGTCTAAGCCAAGTGTATGTCAACTCACCGTCAGAAATTGTTTCTGACCAGCATAACTATGCAGTGACCGTATCTAAGGGGAAATATTTACACTTAGCTAGTGGTCTCTGAGTCCTGGTGTGGCACTGTGCGTTAATGTGCCAGACTGCAAAGACATTTGTACTGCAAGGCAGGTGGTTCAGGCTCACCAGCTACTCTTCAGAAGCCCTATACAGGATTGCTATGGGTTGGAACCGACTCCACAGCACTTTACAACAACAACAATAATTACTAGTGAAGTCTTGGTAACCCTATGCAGGGTCACTATGGGTCGGACCTGACACAGCAGCTCTTAGTGACAACAACAACAGCAGTGGTCACTAGTTCCTGAATACTGTCTAATGTTGCAGACCGTGTAAGACTGGTCAGAGGTTCGAGGCCCTATAGGCCCGAGTGTAACAGATCTAGCCACTTGGCAGTCAATAGCATATTGTTTTTCATCTAATATTCAGTTACATGTATTAATTTAATACATGGAGCCCTTGATAATCCACAGATAAATGTGATATTTTCCTAAAGCTGAAGACTGTAAAGGTTGCAAGGTCAAGCCTTTCTCCAAAGGATTAACTAAAAACATCTTAGCTACTTCACAGTTCTTTGTTCTACAGACAAAAAAGCCATCCTCCCTGAATCTCTCCCAAGTGTTAGCTATTCAGCCAAGTTCCTGAAAACCTGGCTCAGGAAGCCGAAACAGGGGACTCTGCCCAAGCTTTTGTCCTTACCTCTCACCTTCCCCCAACTGAGCTCAGGGGCTATAGATATGCTAATTGAGCCTAAGAAACCAAGTTGCGGGCCTGGGATTCGAACCTGCGAAGTACGATGTAAAGTTACCCAGGTGTGCATTACGGGTTGGAAGGCATGCAGTAAAGATTGCAGGGCAGTGAGTTGCTGCCTGCAGAGGCCACCATGCCTGTAGTCCCAAGTCTACCCACCAGTGATGTATCCACCTGGCTTTGGGGTGCCTCATTGTCCCCCTTCTTCTGTCTGTCTGTGTATATCTTTACCGCTGCCAGGTATCTCCTCCTCGTGAACTGAACCCCTATGTCAAGGCCAGTCACCAACAGTCTAACAGTCTTACTCTCCTCTCTACTGCCACTGCCATGATTCTAGGTTAGGCCATCATGATCTATCTACTCAGTTACTGCAGTGATCATCCAACTGTCTCCCTACTGTCAGTCTTTCACTTTATCATGCTTCCTATGTCATCTTTAAAAAGAAAAATCTATTATGGCACGCTCCTGCTGAAAGCCCATTAAAAGCTTTTCAGCTCTTTTGGGCTAAAGACCAAAGTTCTTTCCATGGCCTAAAAGGTTTTCCATCTTCTGAATCCTGTCTACTTCAGATTTGTTTTGGATCATCTTTTTTTTTTAATAAATTTTTATTGTGAGGTTTACGTGGAAGAATATCAGTTTTACAATCATCCTATTGTATTTTGTTTCATTGTAATGATTACAAACCCCTCCATGCATCATCAGATAACCAAAGGGTACACCCCACAGGCCTGCCCCCCAGCTGTCAGCACACAGCCCCTCTCCCTCCCTGAGTTCAGTGTCCCCAGCCGTTCTATCTGTCCACGTCATCGTCTCTGTCTCCATCACTGGCATCTCTGCCTCTCTGGGTAGGGTCACGTTCTCTGCTCTTCTCACTTGAGGTCCCAGGGACATCCATTCCTGCCTGGGCTGTGAAATCAATCACTCCCCTCCTTTTGTCAAAAAATATCTACCTCTACATTTCCAACCCTCGAAGTCAGTCCTGATGGCAATTATTCACTATTGTACCACAAGAGTCTTATCCCCATTTTGTTTTCGATCATTCTCGCCCTTGCTCCTTTGCATGCTTACCTTCTTTCAGTTTCTACAAAACTCTGTTCTCTTTCCTGGTCTCCCAGGATCTTCTCTTCCACACTGACTGTTTTCTTTGCCACGTTCAATTCATTACTCGTGCTTTTTTCATGGAAGCCTTGGCTAGTATCTCTTGTTAAACACTTCAGTTTGACAAGAAGGTCTACATGTATCATCTTCCTAGCCCTTATTACATTTGTAATTGCTCCTGCGTTGCTCTTCTTCCTTGCTAGACGTAAAGGCAGAGAATTAGCCTTATTCACTGCTATATCATTAATCTAGCTTTTGCCTGACTCATAGTGTCATGATTATAAATAATTAAAAATGACTGTGTATATATTTTCATCTCTCAAACACACATAGAAGATATTTTAGACTATATATATGCTTAGACTTATGGTGTGGCATTGTGAGTTAATGTGCTGGACAGCAAAGCTGGTTTGAACCACAAGGTCGGTGGTTCAAGCTCACCAACTGCTTGCTCCTTGGAAAACCCTGTACAGTGTTGCTATGGTCTGGAAGCAATTCGATATGCATGTTGTTGTTGTTAAGTGCTGTCAGCTTTATCGTTGAAACTGACCTTGCAGTCTAGTGCTTTTCCTACAGCGCCACACCAGGACTCCATATTATGCATACATACGTGTATACACACACACACACACACACACACACACACATATAAGGATGAGTCAAAATTACAGCACTCTGTAGAAGTTACTTTTATCAACTTCCAGGAAAGACAAATACATATTTTTCAAATAATCTCCTTGCTTTTCAATACACTGTGTCCATCTGTCAGCAAACTTTTGTATTCTCGTATTAAAGAATGTTTTAGGCTAAGCTGCGAGCCACCAATGCACAGCTGTCTTCACTTCTTCATCAGAGGTGAATCTTAGTCCTTGAAGAGCTGCTTTTAGGGGACCAAACAGGTAAAAGTTCAATGGAGCAAGATCAGGACTGTAGGGAGAATGCTTTAACACCTCAAAAGGGCTTTTTTGCAGAGTTACAACAGTGTGGGCAGAGGTGTGCAGATATCCATTGTCATGCAAGATCACAATGCCCTTGGATAGTGGTCCTCTGTGCTTAATCCAACATTTAGGACTCAGCTCCTCAGTGAGCGTCTCACCGTAATGAGCACGGCTGATTGTTGAACTTTTTCCTGATAGAATTCCAGTACTGGCCTCTTAGAATTCCAGAAAGCTGTAAGCATCAATTTTCCAGCTGATGGTTGACTTTTGAACTTTTCCTTGATTGATGATTGAGGATGTGTGCATTCCATACTCTGCCGTGTACTCGCAGGTTCACAGTGATGAATCCATGTCTTGTCAACAGCAACCATTTTTTAAAAGAAACTTATACTTTCCTTCAAGTATCGATCCAGATTTTGTTTGCAGATATCCAGACATTTCTGATTCTGCTCTTCCAGTGCCCATCTTGCAGAAACTTTCTGAAATCCAAGTCTGTCATGGATTATTTCATAGGCATAGTGCACATGATTTGCCACTTAATCTTCTTTCACTCGTCTATTCAACAAAATCATTTCACATGCACGCTCAATGTTGTCATCAGCCGTGGATATGAATGGCATTTTAATATTACCAGAGTGCAGATAATGTTTGACTTTCCATGTAATTAATTTGTAATTGTCTATCTATGGTAGTTTTTTGTTTTTTTAAATGTTTTACCCTTGAGTAAGACTTGTCAAGGAGTCCTTATATGGCGCTGTAGGATAAGAACTAAACTGTTAACCATAAAGTTGGTGGTTCAAACTCACCAGCCACTCCTTGGAAACCCTGTACAGGGTCAGTATGAGTCAGAAGCAATTCATTGGCACTTAACAGCAACAACAAGCCTTGTCAGTGGTGACAAGGTCCACCTGTACCTAGAAATTAGTGTTTGTATTTGAGAGTATGTGTATAGCATGAATTCTTTTGTATTATTTTTTTAATGTCGGCTGGATTTTGGAATATAGCACATCAGATAGTAATATGGCTGACAGTTGTGTTCTTCTTTTTGTATCTTGTTTTCTCACTGGGTACTGTCCATCACTCCTATTGCAGGTAAAGAAACTGCTGCAATGAAAGCTGATCTCCTAAGGGCCCGGAATATGAAAAGGTACATTAACCAACTGACTGTGGCAAAGAAGCAGTGTGAAAAGAGAATCAGAGCCCTTGGAGGCCCTGCCTACGACCAACAAGAGGATGGGGCTATGGATGAGGGAGAAGGGCCTCAAAGCCAAAAGGTAGAACTTCGCAGTTTTTTGTTTTGCCCATTTTGTTTTTATTATGAACACTGATGTAAACACATAAGCACTTTGTAAAAAAAACAAAGTTAGATATTATTCACACAGTTTGAATTTTTGTTGTTGCAATTTGAACTCCAGTATAGTTATAGGCTTTTCTAGTTACTGGGAATAGGATGGAAAAAAAGAAAATTGGAGGGTATAAATTTATTTGATTAGAAACTTTTGTCGAACCAAATTAAACTTCCAAAAGAATGGTTTGCTTTCACATCCCAAGAGGTAATTAAAATAAAATTTCAAATATAGCTTTTACTCTTACAGTATTGCTTTTAAACTGCTGTATACTGTATGTTGTCTTGAGAGTCTTCCAAGCAGAAAGTGCTTGTGCTTAATGAATTTTTTAGTGGTTTGGATGCAGTTTGATGATCTGATGTGCAATCAAAGATTGGGAGAGAGTTTGAGTGTCAACATATACTCCCCACTGTTTAGCTCCTTATATATTCGTTTTTAACTCTGTGCTTGACTTAAGATGTGTTCCATAATGATAGACTGACTGATAGATTTGCTCTTATGGGTCAGAAAGCTATATTGTTTTGAGTCTTTGGCTTCTGTGAATGCTGTTAGATAAGAAAGGCAGGAGTGTGTGCATGTATGTATCCATGTTCTGTAACCCTCCCCCATTTCCACAGGGGCACAGTTGCAAGGGCAAAGTCAAAGCATTTGTTACCGTCTACATCTAAGAAGTAGAAAATACATAAGTTGTTTTATTGAATTCTCACATTAACATTATGAATTATGTGAATGATAGTTCTACTTTTTAGCTGAAGAAATAGTCAAGTTAAGTAACTTGGCTTAGGCTACATAGATAGGAAGAGGCAGGACTAGAACATAAACCTGGATCTTGTTGATTCTCAGATTCAGGTGCTTTTTTTTCACTAAGCTGTAGTGTCTGTGACTGTTCTTGTACGACAAATCTCTGAACAGCATGTTGATACCAAGTCCTTAAATGGCAGAGCTTTGGGGAAAGTGTTGTAGTCCTCCCTCAGTACTGGTCCTTATTCTCAAGGATAAAAAGACCTAGAGCATGTCAGGATTGAAGGAAAAAGGAAATAAAATAATACTCCCTGAGAAGCTTGGCTGGACTACCACCTGGGAGCAAGACCTTCAAGGCAAACACCATCTAAAGCTTTATTTTGTAGAGGAACCAGTATCGGTATAATTTAACCCTAGCTAGATTTTCTGTCCTCACCTGCTCTGATTTTTTTCCCTCTCGTTATCTCTTTCTTTTCACTTCTCTGTTTGCATTCAGACCCTTATCTGAGACAGTTTGCTTCTCCCTATTCCAGTGATGAGGGAGTGAGGTGGCTACATACAATAAACACTGGACTGCAAACCACCAGGTCCACAGTTCAAGCCCACCAGCCTCTCCTTGAGAGAAAGATGAGGCTTTCTGCCTCCTCAAACATTTAAAGCTTCGGAAACCCTATACAGAGTCACTATGAGTCGGAACCAGCTTGACTGCACTTAACAATGTTCCAGTGATGAGTTTTTAACCTTTCCACTTGTGTCCTGGTTTACACCCTAATGAAACCTCCTCAGGAAGGTTTTTACACCATCTTTGGTCCAACCTCAAGTCAGAATCCTTCTCCAGTATCTTACATAAATGGTGCAAATGTAGTCCCAAGGAGCTCTTATTTTATAGAAGGATTCCTTAACCACTGAAATTTTGTTTATTTTGCTATTAGCAAATCTACCTTTTGAGATTTTGGCTTTTGTGGCCCCAAGTGAAAGCTTCATCTTTTAGTGAAGCTTGTAGAAAGTAGATTTGGCATGTTGCATATTGCCTTTCTTCCTCCTGTTTCTCAGCCTCTGACTTAAGTAAATCTCTCTCTTTTTTTATTCACAGATCAGATAGTCTTTTTGTGTCCTATTCATTTAATCATTCAGCACACATTTAGTGAGGTCTATGCTAGGTTGCTATGGGTCGGAACCGACTCTAAGGCACTTAACAACAACAACATGCTAGGTACTAGGATTCAAAATGGGTGAGATAGTATTCCTGCTCTCAAACAGCCACATTTAATTATACACTTAAGAGATAACTAATCCGATAGAGGTGTGTGATGTACCTTGGAGAGGCACCTAATGGCTTGCTACCTAATCATGAGAACCTATCAAGTGATGTGCTTTTAATTGAATACCTAGAGAAAGATAAAGCCCAGCTCATTTTAAGAGAACTGAACGTGATTTCAATACATATGATTTTCTAGTGTCTACTGTAAGTAAGTAAATCCAGTGCCAGCTTTATTTTGTATTGTTTCCTCCAAGCTACTCAAGAGAAGAAAAACTCATTTCTGTTGCAACACTTTATTAATTATCTAAGAGTAAAAACTATTCCCCCTCTAATCATTAGGTTGAAAGGCTCAGATAATATTACAGAGTTCTAATACTTCTGGTGCTTTGCTATTCTAAAGGTATTGTGTGGTTAGCTTGGGGCCATTCTGATATCTTCACAAGTGATTAGAACAGTTTTTCTATAATTATTTTAGGGGAATCACCACTAACTTTATTTCAGAACTTGTACTTCAAAATTAGATGAATCTTTCAATCAAAAACATTTTCTAGCTCAGCCTCTTGGTTGTTTGAGCTATTCTGTCTTGTTTCTTCATGGGAACAGAAACTTTCTGCAGCTTTCAAGACATTGTGATGCTATATTTGTATTAAGTTGATGAATGTATGTTGGTGTATTCTTAGGCATTCACTATCTGCCTCCTGGTGGGTGTGATCAGGAGAGGAGCTTGTGCACCATTCCCTGTTCACTGTTCATACAGTTCAGAGTGAATTTAACTAACGTTGGTTGCAGTTGCTGACCTGGTGTATAACAATAGAAGATCCCTAAGGAGGTGGATTGACACAGTGGAACCAGTTATGGGCTCAAATGTAACAGTAGTAATTGTTTCATTTGTAACTTATTGTTTCATGGTGTTGTTCATAGGTCACTATAAGTGGGAACCAACTTGACAGCACCTGACAACAATATCAACAGCAACATCACTTAAAGGAGCTCTGGTGGTTTAATGGGTTACATATTGGGCTACTACTATCGCATTTGTTAAAATCCACCAGACATTCTGAGGAGAAAGATAGGACTTTCTACTCCCATTAAGGTTTGTTGTTGTTGTTGTTAGGTGCCATCGAGTCAGTACCGACTTACAGTGACCTTATGCACAGCAGAATGAAACACTACCCGATCCTGGGCCAGCCTCACTTTTGTTGCCATTCTTGAGCCCATCAAAGCCTCAGAAATCCTATACAGGGTTGCTATGAGTCAGAACTGACTCAATAGTACACAACCACCACCACCACCATGGAGCTTGGTGTTGTCTTATTTGACTTATTTTAGATTGATTTATCTTCTGCTGACCAAAGTGTCCTCTCCAAACTCAGCTATAGAAATATTCTTGACAGGCACCAAGCAATTCTTTATCCAGGTTAGAAATCTTGACCTTTGTCTCTCTAGTTTTTCAAGCAATAAAACTCAACAAGAAAACTGAAAAAGGGTTTCTTTAGAAAAACAACACTGAAAGTTCAATTCCAGTTGAAGTTTTTGATTTGGGTCTGAAGTCATTTAATCTAGATATGTTAGTACTTGAGTTTTTAAAGTTACCACTGAATTTTTAAAGGTTACTTTTCTTGATCTAACTTTTTAATTGGTATTTAGAGGAATACTGACCAAAAAGGGTTAAGATAGGGGTCTTCATTAGGAAGCTGTGTACAGTGGGTTAAGCATAGGGCTCCTAACAACAAGACCAACAGTTCAGAACCACTAGCCAATCTATGGAGAAATATAAGACTGTTCCCATAAAGATTGATAATTTTAGAAATCTAAAGAACATTTCTACTCTGTCTTATGGTGGTGGCTGTTTGCCATGGTTTACCATGGTTTGTGGCTGTTTGTCGGTTCTGATTCACAGCGACCCTGTACAGGATTTCCGAGGCTGTAAATCTTTACAGGACCAGACCGCCTCATCTTTCTCCTGTGGAACAGCTGGTAGTTTCAAACTGCTGACCTTGCGGTTTGCAGCCCGATTCGTAACCACTATGCTACCAGAGCAGAATCACCTCAACGACAACCTGTTTTGGCCTATTGTGACTGTCCAGTTAGGAAGTATGAGTAGGGTTTGGCAGTGCACATGTGTAGAACCAGGCTGAGTAGGGAAAGTCAAAAGACAGGAATTAAAACCTCAGAAATTGGATTCTGTGAAATTTTCAAACTGGTAGTTTTTGTAACAGAATGATATGAGTTCTTTGTGAGGTGAGTGGGGAGAATAGGGCATTATGAGTGGGTCACATTTTGGTTCTATCCGATGGAGACTGGATAAAAGCACTCAAGGTAATGAGATAGGATAGCCAGGATCAAGGAGGTGGTAACTCAGAATCTTTCAGTGAATTATTATCCTATCAGCAAGAGCCTAGCGGATGGTGAATAACCCTGAGTTTAGAGCTGGGGTGACAATTTAAAGCTGGTGAGGTTTAAGTGGGAGTTTTAAATGATGAACATCAGTACCAACTGAGTTTGAGGTTGGTCATGGAGATATAATTGCAATGCATGGTCAAAAGGAGCCAGGGGGGATTTAGGCAAGCAACGTGTACTGAATAGATTTAAGAGAGTAGTTTTGAGATGGGAGTTAGGAAGCTAGCTGCTTGATCTTGCTTTACAAATACACATAAATGGAATAGTTATGGTCATTGTCAGATATTTTTACTTTCTTTAGTTGTTTATTCTCTCATCTGTAAAAGTAGCTGAAATTGGTCAAAATATGAAATCATCCTTGTACATTTGATCTCTGTACTGCCTTTTCTTTCTACCTAAATGAAAACTAATAATTCTGTGGCCTTTATTCCTGACCTCAACTACTTGGCTTGCAGCAGACTGTGTTGGTTATAAGGCGATTGAAAGGAAGAATATGGGTGTGTCTCTGGGAAAGCATTAAAATAAC